GAGTCGAATCGATAATATACCTGATCTGTGCATAGGGCTAACGGCAGCGTTAAACAGTCAGCAGGGTATGCTTACTCCTCTTAGGCACCTGATCATACCTCAGGCAGATTTCCGTGCGTTTGCCCTGTTTATTTACTGGATTAATAAAATTGATCACTGTCCGTTATCTTTATCTCTTTTTACCTCACTGACTTTGAACGAATAAGAACAATTTAAAGCTAGTATCTAAGATTGACTAGATGACCTTAACTTTTCAAATACCTATTTTCTTTATATAGGAATATTTAACTACAACCTATATGCGGTGTTAATGCCTTTCAGCTTAAATGACATTCAAAACCATGTTCCGAGTCGTCAAATTTTCAGACCGAGAACAACAACCGACAAATTGGTATATGTTACGGGGATTATAATATCTTTATAAAAAAAAATAGATATCTCGTAGTTTAAGGATCGTTTAATAAGCAAAACTTATCTTTTCAAAACAAAATGAGTCATCATTATTATTTTTGAGAGACAAATAGGAAAGCTATGTTTTTTTTATATTATAAATGTACTTTAATAAGTAAATTAATGTGTCCCACAGTTGTGTTTTGTTTTACAACTCTAGACAATTAATAATAAATTCTGTACATTCAATATCCGTTATCAATCCTATAATATATGAAGAAACCATAAAAAATAAATTTCTGAACCTGAGGTCCTTTTTATTTAGTATTCATTTAAGGATGTTTTTTAATTTTTGTGTGAGTTATTGGTGTGTGAATCACACAGACTTGTCACGTAGGCATATTTCGTGAAGCGCGCTAGCTGTTGGCTTAGTAGAAAAACAGATAAAGATGAATCTTTCCTATAATCCTTTATTGTTTAAACATGATCAGCCGATTCACCGTCATCAGTACTTCCAAATTTATAATTTCAATTATAAATTAAACATAAAAAGGTGCACGTTGTTCTCTTAAAGAATAATCAGTCAAGCTTTCAAAACCACCCACTGGCAGTGTGTTGCTTTAGGTTTCTTTTTCTTGTTTTTGATAATGACTTGTATCATATAACATTGAATATATGTTATAGTGACAAAAATCAATTTTCCAGGTTTGAAGCTCAGTAATGTATTCAAATGTCAATCAATCACTTGGACCATCAACTATGAAACACATGGTTTTCTTCATACATAATTCAAAATGTTTTACCTCTATGGCAAAATAAAAAAAAAACATAGGTAATCAGAGATTACAAAGCTCATCTCAACGAATGTTGTCTTTAAGTAAGGCAAAGTCCAACAATTTATGTACATCGAAATATGAAAAGTTTTTGCAATTTTGGTTTTATACTTTTGAGTAGGCCATATAAAAACTTCAAACTAGTTCTTCATCATGTAAACGTAATTAAAATCCAGCATCAGAAGCAAAATTGTAAATTTTAATCCCTTGATGCATCTTTTAGTCAGGTTTGTTTTATATAAGCCTTATAGTTTCTTGGTAATAAAATGAAAAAAAATATAACCTTTTCATTAATCCAGAAAATGTAGGTCAGATTCAGCATCTATAGCCAGCCTGGTAGAATGCAACCTTAGATGCATTATCCATGCAAGTTTGGTCATATAGAGCTCATAGTTACTTGGAAATGAATCCTGCACTAAAAACATTAACCTGTTCACTCAACCGGAAAATGACGGTCAGATTCAGCATCCGAATTAAGTCGGTAGTATGCATCCTAAGTTGTAACATCCATGCAAGTTTGGTCATTATAAGGCTTTAAGTATCTCTGAAATGAAAACTGCACCAAAAACTTTAACATGTTCACTCAACTGGAAAATGTAGGTCAGATTCAGAATCCGAAGTAATACTGGAAGTATGCATCCTTAGATGTATCACCATGCAAGTTTGGTCACTATAATGCTAATAGTTACTTGGAAATGAGACCTGCACCGAAAGCATTGACCTGCTCAATTATCCGGAAAATGTAGGTCAAATACAGCGACTGAAGCAAGTCTGATAGTATGCATCTTTAGATGTATCATTCATGCAAGTTTGGACTACATAGGGCTTACAGTTACTCGGAAATGATACCACCACCAAAAACTGCACCACAAATGTTAACCTGCTCCAAAAACATTACCCTGGTCATTCATTTGCTGAAATTGCAGCATCTGAAACTTTGACTGGTACAATGAAATACATTTCTTCCATGCATATCTAATCTATATAGGACATAGAAGTACTTATAAAGAAACTGCTCCAAAAAACTTAGCCTTAACCTGGGACGCCAACGCCGACGCCGACCCCAAAGATATTAGATAAGCTCCCACAACTTCGTTGAGGTGATCTAATGAATAAAAACAAGAAGTTCAAAGGGTCACATCGCTCATCTTATACATCAAGTACATGTAACTATGACCTTTCTGTTGCCGAACACAAGAGTCATGTGATTATCCCTCTGGAGTTTATTGTATAATTAAAGACAATGCATTTCATTTTGTAAGATTAATCAAAAACAACTCCTTCATATATTGTCAGAGGCTATAAAACATAATAAATTCAAAATACCAGGAATAAACCCTAGCTGTTTTGATCAATTCTCTCAGAGTATTAAAATTAAACTTTGTTAAGAATGTTTTCTTTCACAGAGTTTTAAATTCCAGGGGACACAGACTACCACAAAATTACAACTTCATTGTATAAGTCTAAGTTTGTATTTGAAGAACTTAAAAAAGGTTTTCACAAAAGTCCGATCTTGTGTCATTTTTACAGGAAGGTTCTGTGCATTTTTGACCATGTTAGAAAACAATTAATCGATGTAAATCATTCGATAACATTATTTACAACCATAAGGTCCCGATGATAAGAAAACTGAATTGTTAAGATTATAAGGTTTACATATCGAGATCTAAATTATTGAGAGCGAAATATAAGCCTTTTCTCATTAGAGCATTTATTTTATCTGAAAGGTGGCACTAATTGTCCATGAAAATATGAAGATGGTTATAGTTCTATTACAGTTCTATAAACAAGGATTGGTTTTATTCCCATAGTACCGCTCAACCATTAAAAGTCGTAGTCTATTTTCACACTTTTTGCACAAAATATAAAAATGTAAGATTATTGGGCATTGAACGGAACTTAGTTGGGGGACCCAATGCGTGCTATACAATCTGTCAGGGAGGGACAACTGTTTAACACGTAAATATCCCATATTTATATATGATTTTTCTAGACAATCAAATTGTATCAAAGCATTAGATAATTACAGAGAGTGAAATATAAGCTTTTTCTAATTAAAACTATCAGGTATGGAATCTTACACGATTCAAAATGTAGAGAGTAGACCGCCTTGTCTCATGTCCTGTGTACAGGAAACCGCCTAGACTGAGACTGATATACTATAATAACACATTTTGTATCAACATGACGGTCATCAGTGAAAAGGTTACCTAATTCACCCAATTTATACAAGAGAGCATGTCTCAATGCAATTTCAAATGCTTTGCTACTAACTAAAACACTAGTATAAACATTGTTAACATATTCTAAATTAAAAATTGTCTCACGTTAGCTAAAATGCGCTGTCAAACAACCATATTTTGTAGAAACCCTTGTTGTTGAAGAATAAGGAATACTTCATTACCTAAAACATGCTCAGAAAAGCGGTAATGAATTGTGCTCTAAAAATTAAAAAAAAAAGAAAGAAAGAAAACATGACAAAAAAGCAATTGGTCTGTAGCTTTAACATGAAAATCTTGAGTTTCCTCTTCCCTTATGGCACAATGAAACCACTGCCTCCATGAAGATGGAATTGTACCAAACAACACAATTGCATTAAACAGTTTTACGGTTCATTCAAGAAGATTTTTGCCACTAAAGATGACGTTTTTATTTGTATCTCGATCAGCACTAGGTTCTTGTACGTATTTCAGTTTGCAAATGATCAGCGCTATCCCTGTCAGAGGAATTAAGCCAATGGGAACGTGGCCTTTATATTGAACACGCAACCTTTAATGTCTTCGTTCTTCTTTTCAACCTACAATAAAACTCTTGTTCAAACAAAGGATCATTAGAGGTAGAATATATATTTTGAATGTATATTCCAAAGACTCCAGAGACTCCTGACGGATAACTATAAACTATGTCATTGTCTATTTGAATTTCAGGATATGTATTGTAAGATCTGAAATTACATCTTTTTCTTCCAAAATACGCGGATATATCTCAGTCGGCTGCTTCGTCTAGGTCACGATACACATTACTTACTAGTATATAGGGCTCATTTTCACCATTTAACATATTTCTAAAATATTTTTTGATGTACTTGTAGTTGCGATAAATTTTACGGACCATACCACTAGGTTTTTCTCATTTATTTACAGTCGCAACATTTTTTCAAGTGATTCCTTTACCTCTCCAATCCATCCCGTGGTCTTGTATGTAGATTATATCCAGCCTGTGTTTGTCCTGATCAGTGGACTTTTATTCCATCTAAATTAAACTGATCAAGGCATTGCTGTTTTTAGGGAAAAGATTTTAAACAATTTCCTATATATTCTTTTATTAAAATTTGACCCCCCCCCCCCATTTCTGCCCAACCCGACACTAACTTTAATAATTTCAAGCTACACTACCTGAGTATAACTGCATATGAATATGATCATGCCTTTACTTCAAAAAAGACATTTTCTAGATATTCCTAAGCATAACTTCGATTACCAGTTGTGGCCTCACTCAACTCTTCCCACCCCCACCCCCTATTTTTTTCCAGGGACCATAATTTGAACATTTTACACTACATTATAAACTAAACTATCTGAAGGTGTTTTAAATCAATTTGATTAAACATGGCTTCGCTGTTCTTAACAAAAGTAATTTTTCCACTACATATTCCAATATAAAATGTTAACTACTTATTGTTAGGGAACGCCCCCCCCCCACCTAAACCTGGGGGGTAGTAATTTTAAATAAATCTACACAATTTACTTCTAGATCAATATAAATATCACTTGTGGGCTAATAATGTTTGTCGATCCTCTCCATATTCTTTCTCTGTATGTATCTGTATATGCATATTTCTTGTTTGTGACCGCTTGTTCCAACCCAGAGAATGTAGAGTCCTAATGGTAATAGCCGTGACCTTGACAGAGGACCTGTGAGGGAGAGATCATCTCGTTCTTCTGATGAAGGTCCTGTGTAAGAGTAACAATGTTTGCCTCCACACTCGGTCACTACTACAGCACGGTTCTGGTCAGACACAATAACATCTCCGTTATGGTTCTCGGTGATGTATAAAGGGCATTCATACAGTCTCTGATCCGTGTTATCGTCTCCAATGACCTGTTTGGGTTTGTATTTTTTTCCTGTACTGATACACCGCACTACCTTGGCCTTTGTAGATTTATTTTTATCCCAGTCATATCTTAATACGCCAACTAGTAAATCTCCGTTGGAGGGGGAGCTGTAGACACATTTCGCAACCCATGGTTCTTTTACATTTACTAGTTTGCTTTCAACTTTTTTCCATTTTTCTGTGGACAATTCTCTGATGTAATGATGCTTGCCTACATAGATTAGATTGCCCTAACGAGTAACGCAATCTCCTGCAGTATAATTAGGTGTATCCATGTTATTTAAATGAATGCATAGAGGGTCACCAGTTGTGTCTGTCAAGATGTTAAATCCATGGTAAATCGCTGATCCTAATCAAGTCTGTTGTTGCAAAGGACATATGATACACATTTTCTCCCACTGGAAATGATTTTTTCAACACAGGTGACTGCATCAGTTCCAGAAGTTGCTCGTTTCTTGTCTTAGCGGCCACCCGAAATAGGCCACTTGCAGTCAGCGGCCACTTTCAGTTCCCCCCGATGATTTTTACTATATATTTTAATTGGAATAAACGGCCACCTGTGAAACGCGGCCAGCGGCCACTAAAATCCTACCCCAACAGCCTGATTAACAGTGTAATAAGCGGCCATTTCGTCACTTGTTGCAATTCTATCACATCTTTTAAACGTGTTGGCTTGGGTAATCATATACTCGATAGTCAATTTGACCTATTAATGCAATTAAAGAAATTGCATTTAAATACGCTGAACTCTATCTTTATGAAAAAATATTTGTTATGTTAGATCAATTTGTAATTATATTTCAAGATCGTTGTTATTGTCTTATCAACATATATTAGCCTTTATATCTTCTTATTTATTCACATACAATGTACCTTGATACTTTCAAATGATAAATAGCCCCTTTTCAGTCGCTTGCGTGGCGCAGTGGTTAGAGCGTCTGCTCTAGATTCGCAAAGTAAGGAGTTAATCCTTACGTCGCAGGCTAGAATACAACTATGGGATGCTGAGACTGGTCCTTCCGATGAGACCTATAAACCGATGTCCGGTATCGCAGTAGGTGCTGGCACGAAAAAGATCCCTCACTGCTTAATGACCCTAAGAAGTCAGCATAGGACTAAATTTGCAGCTCTCCACCGGCAAGTGGTGGCGTCTCCATGTGAAAAATTCTCGGGAGGGACTTTAAACAACATACAATCCATAAATCAAAGCGTGGACAGTCTTTTGGTTTTCTTATTACATAAACTATTTACGACGTGAAAATTCATGGTTTTATCATACAAAACAGCAATCTTTACAAGGTATTCAAATGTCAATAACTTACAAAATAGTCAGGAAAATCAGTAAGAAGCTGAAACCTGCACGAAATCTTCTATATAACTGTTTTTATACTTCCATTTCTCTTGCTCTTTGTTGTTACTCTTAACAGGATTACTTGTCCGCTCACTGAATACATGAATGATATCAAGCTTTTCATATCACCGAAAGTTTTGTTTTCAAATTCAAAGTTGCTTTTAAATTTATTCAACCAAATGATTGATTGCATACAGTCAGCACTAAAAATATTTATAATGAACAAAAAAGTTCAAAGTCTGAAAAAATCCATTTTTTTTTTTTTATTTTTGTATCTGTCAATTTTATTCAACAAATGCTTGCATTCATGCCCCATTCCAAAATGAATACGTCATTGAAAATGTTTTAAAATAACAAATGTTAAATGTCATTGGATCACAACAAAAGATTCACTTCTCCTGGATCACCGACTACCAAATACGGGATTTTATCTAGATATTTACGGTGCCTGAAGGATAATCTTGGCGTTTGGTATTTAATATCATAAAAATGACCTGAAGGCTATGAAAATATGTAGGTAATTTATCATGAATTTTATAAGCGTGAATTAAACATAAAACAGAGCATGCATGATTAAGGGGGTGGAAAAGGGGTTACACTGTTCTGGCTGGCTTCTTCTTCCAATGTATCCCCTTCACCTACCCGTCTTAAAACCAGGTTGGGTTACATAGAATTCCCTTTGTACGCCTTTCAATTTATTTGCGTCTTTCCGCAAGTTTGTAAATTGTCCAATTTTCTCTCATTTTCCAAAGGTTCAGAAGGCGTAAACAGTCTTAGCTAAGAAGTCTTCTTAAAATAAAGGTCGTATTTCGTCTGATATTTTATTTAATAAATATATTTGAGGCATTATAAAAAAAATCGACAAAAGTTACCGTATTCATTAATGTTTTTATTACTGAAAAGAGGAATTATCCCGTTTTATAGTAATACTTCCCCGTAAAAGGAACGATTATCGAGTTATCCACTTCACAAATGATACAGTGCTCGCATAGTTAGCGGCGATCTCTACTTGTGACGTCCAGCTCTAGACCTTTTAGTTGTCATTTTTGTAGATCTTTTACCACGTTCAAACCAGCTTTCGATACACCTATGTGTGTCGTTCTCTGGTTCCCAGCTCTTTTCCTGAATAAAAGGGGTCATATTCCGCTCAACACATCGCTGAGTGATAATTTGGTGCGCTGCATTATCACCCCAACTCGCCCTTGATAATATCTAACTATTATTGTTTGTGTTAACTATGAAATCACTAATGAAGAGACCCATGAATTTATGTCCACCATGAAAAGTATTTTTTCATAGATATTATTACTGAACAATTCTTCATTTACGAAATTAAATCACCACGAACTCATATTTTATCCTTCAATCACGAAAATTTGTACCCTCGAAAATATGTTATTTTACAGTACAAATTTATATTTTTCTTATTTATAATGTAGAAGTATTTATTTTTTCCACACAAGACTTCTTGATCATACAGTTTCTTAGAATTTCATTTCAATCACATTACATATCCGAATTGTCGAATAATAAATTAAGAAAACATCCCTATCAATGCAAATTTTGAAAGTCAAAGAATTTACCGTTCGCTGAGCACCAATATCTAACACCCTTTAAATATTGTTTTAAAATGCATATTATGTCGCAACCTTTTTTTATGTAGGCAAAATGACGAAATTTCATTTCCCAATATTGTGCATAAAATGAAAAATTTTGGTCCGGAAGTCCATGAAATATTTTAAAAAGTTTGCGTTTTTCTAGGAAAACCTTCGTACAACATATCACTGAATCAAATGCTGCGATTTTCTCTTACAGATGGTCATGGTATTTTAACAATCTGAATTGTCTACAGTAATTTTCGTTTTTCATATCATGACAAGCAGTGCAGGCAGTTGCGATCAGTCCGCAGCGGATGCTCCGTCAATGGCACGATCCCGTGTCATTTGCTTTTGGAGGTCCGTGTTTGTTCAAATCGACTTTGAAAACTGTTTGTTATCTTTATTTTTCAATTTTTTTCCTGAAATATATGAGGATAACGAACAGTATTCAAAATCAATATCCATTGATCAACTACAAAATTGAAGCAGTGGAAACAGGGACCTCCAAAACATCAGAAATGGGACAAGGTGTCATGAATGAGAGCATCTCCTGCCAACCGGTCACATCCGCCGTGTGCTCCTTGTCACGTTCGGGGAAAATCGGAAAATCAGTGGACAAATAATTGTCCAGGAATCATTCTGAAAAAAATCAGTCGGACTTGGCTTAATGTAAACAATTTTTGCTGAAAAGAAATTTATCGGCCATAGGAAATACGAAATTATGACTTTAAACGAGCCTGTTGATATTCTTGTTTCATCAGCTTGTTTGTCAATGGATAATTTGAAATTGTTTATAAGTGGAACATGCTCTTCTGTATCGAATCAACTGAGAAATATATACTTTGTATGCAGGTGACAAAGGAATATTAATGCGTAAGTAAGGAAAATTGACGATTGAAAAGTTAAAGTCATCACGTTTATCACAAAGTTTAATTGTTTGAATACCAATAACGTCTTTTTCTCGTAAAATATCAAAATATGAATATTATGTGTCTGACAGACTATTTCGTATCTTTTATCTCAATATATTTACATCCACTGAATATTTTCTCCTTTATTTCTTAAGAAACCCCATTGCGTTCATCACTGCATAAACTACAGTAGGCATGTCGCCTGTACAGATTTCTTAATCAGTGGCTGTTCCATCAATGACACGTATAAGGACGTTCGCATCATTAATACAATAATTAATCTTTTTAATCCTACTTTAATTGATTATTTAAACAGATATAAATATAAACAATAAAATGTCTTTCTTTGTCTGTTGATACTGGAATGAACGGTCGCAGCTATTGCAGAAAAAATTTACATAACCCGCTTACGCGGGTTATGTATTTTTTTCTGCAACAGCTGCGACCGTTCATTCCAGTATCAACAAACAAAGAAAGCATTTTATTGTTCAACTCACCAGCATATATCAGATAATATGTATATAATATCGACAAATGAATGGGAGAGTAATATATCCTGTCGACATAACAATAGAAATAATTATTGTTAATTCACTATAAGTCACCACAGCAAGTGTTAAATTCTTTTCATGTAAAAGATTTTGAACAAAATCTGCTACATGTGAGTACAAATATAGGAGGTCTGGTACCACAAGGCTCAAATGTTTCCCATGGGATTTTCTAAAGATAAAAAAAAAAAAACAACATAGATATTGTCATTCAAATGTCGTTTCCATATCCTAGTGATTTTAAAATCAAAGACACTACTAAGTCTGTCATACTTAATCCATATTTGGATATTATATACTTTTGACTATAGACGATAAGGGTAAACTAAAAAAAAAAAACGGACGTGCTGTGGGCAATGACCTCACTAAATGATACCCCTCGCCTCCCATATGGTTATAATGGCAAAGTTCATGTTTTCTGTGACCGGGAAATCCAAAATATGTATCGGAATAAAAAGTGAAATAAGAGGTGAACAATGGCAATATGTAATTAGGATTCTGTGAAAGTTTCATTAAATTTCCTTCAGTCGTATAAGAGGCGTTAGAGATAAGAGATGGGTACCCCAAAGCGTAACAGACAGACGGATGGACGGACGAACATATCGATTACAGTATACCCTCCCACTTTTCAAGCGGGGAGTACATGTAAACTGTATAACAAACGAGACTATTCTAACTTTCTATCGTCATCCTTCCTCATTTATTCTGTAATACTAAGTATCCGCTATCACCTTTATATGGTCTAATCTCCAAACTTATTTGATTATCAGGGGCATGTTCCGAGTACGATCATTTTTTAACATGTTTCAATGATTTCAGCAATCTAGTTTAAAGTCGTAAAATCAATGCAATTATATTGATCTTGTTAGCAAAAACAACCTATCATTTAGTCAATTTTGGCAAATTGTTTCATTCCAGTCATTGTATCTATATTGAATTTGACTACGGAATGTTCCGTTTGTCTGATGAATACATGGAGCTAAGTCAATAGGGGATGATTTCTCATTCTAGGGATTCCTCCCAGGGGACTTCCAGGTATCCCTGTTAAATGCAATTGTATTGTTTACAGATTTTTCGATGGGTTTTCAAATATAAATGTAACCTTTTCCAATATTGCGCAAAAATACAAAATGTTTGTGCCACAATGAAAAGAAAATAAACAGGATGTGTTAAAGCTGAACACTTCTGTCATTAGTTCTTTTTAGATTTGCAGGGTTGAGATTGAAAACAATATCAATCAGAAAAAAAACAAATAAGTTTATTGACACAATTAAAAAAAAACAAATTATATTAAAAAACACTCACTCACTCTCACATACAAGCTCATACACCGGAAATGAAATAAATATGAACTGTTAACTCAGTTTTAACCAAATCTGATTCTTTACATTATAAGGTTTATTTTTTAAGCAACAAAGTTGACTCAATTAGTAGCTGATCTTAAATCGAATATTAATTCACGCATTTTGTCTTTAAAAATTGATATTCAGAAAAAAGCTCAATTGACTTCCCAAAAGGATGAAATATATATTCAAACTTAAAATTGTTTTATTCTTTGCTACTGAAAGCTACTCAAAGTTTACAAAATTCACAAATTGAGGTCAGCGATACGTGTCCTAGAAAATGCACCACCGTGCTCTCGCCATACAAGTACGTCTACGTCACACCAAGTTCCGTAGCCCACAAATTCCTTAACCGCAGATCCCCGGATCTTAGCCTATCGCTCCAGTTATCCTACCACGCCTTAACGAAGTCGACATTGGATATGACGCACGTAGTTCTCCATACAACATTAGTCAATAAGCCTCAAACCTCGTCAACCGACCCTCAGTACGCCCATAGATCAATAACTCTTCTCCAAGCCCCTTACGCACTGAAATTAATTTATATTTACAAAAAACTAACCTAAAATACAACTAGTACTGAAACCGTAAATTTATAACAGCAAACAAACTATATACTTAATCAAATACTCTTACCGGCTAGAACTGCACAAACACGCTGCAATATTCCTCCTAGCAAGTTATATGGCTACCCGTTTACATTCGGTGCTATATCTTACCAAAATATTCGCCACTTGTATAAGTCATGCCAGGGAAACTGCAAACGTGGCAGGTCACGATACCGGACACCAAACAAGGTCTCACCAAACTAACCAAACCGGTCCCTGTATATACTCCTTATCAAACAATCTCAAAAGTATGGAGTTATAACAAAATCAAAGTAATATATACAGAAAATAAAACAAACTCTTCACAGCTTCTCTTAAATAGGCACCGTCAGTCGGGTATATAAACCCTTCGATTTCGTTACAAACGATTCCACACTTGCAACTCATGGCCAACATGTAGTAGTCGTTTCGTGGTCTTAGATTATTACGTTTATTCCTTGTTTTCATGTGCATTTTCTGTTTGTCAGTTATGTATTGACTTGACTATTTTTAAAGATACTGTTCTCCCCGTTTTCAAAAAAAAAAAAAAAAAAAAAAAAAAAAAAAAACCTGCATAAAATTTTACAATTTCATCACGACCGAGTAGCAAAGCAGTGTAAGATGTATGTCTACACTCATCAAACATCTACGATGAAATACATTACTGTCACTGTTATCTCCTTATATAGAGGTTGAAAGAGGAAGCGTCGATGAACGGGAAATATGGGGCACTATAACCATTTACGACTGGTGTTCAACTTGAAGGTAACACTAAACCCCCAATTCTAAATTAAAACAAAGGTTTAAGTTTTTTTAAAAAAAGAGGTCAAACTCTTTATTCAAGTTTACTATGATAATGCCCAAGATCTTGTCACAATCAATACACTTGTAAAGTATGAACGCTCTACGTATGAACCAAAAGTTATGCCCTAAGTTAAAGTTCAGTTATTAGTTGTAAAAGAGGGTCAAACTTCAAGGTCAAAGGTCAAAGAAGAAGGTATGGTTTCCATACAAATTATGCCCTGTGATTTTCTAAAAAATGAAACTGGTGTAAAAGTTGAAACTCATGTTTTTTAAATAATTGGAATTCAATGCAAAAAAAATCATACAAATCATTTTTCTCACCTGTGCTTTTAAATGCTAATTATGACGTCATAAACATGTGCATTTTCCCGTATTTTCTTAAAAAGTTGCAGAAGACACCAATTTTCAATGGAATATTCTTTCAGATAACATTGTCTACAGCCATCGCCCACAAAGATCTTGAGATATGTGATTTGTTATTGAATTTTGCACAAGATATCAAAAAATTAACGTGGGCGACGGCTGTGGACACTGTTTTCTAAAGGAAAATCACCCTTGAAATGTGCCATTTTGAGGCTTTTTCTGTTGAAAATAGAGAAATGCTTTACATTAATGACGTCATATTAGCAAAATGGTAAACCTTCATGCCATATTCTTTCCAGATTTATGATAGTGATTTACTTAACTAATATTTAAGCCAATTTCAAAACTTTTTCATGTCATTACATTTTTAGGGCACAATAAAGCTAAAACCATACCGTCCTCTTAGGTGGTACATAGGTTCTTATCACAAGGAAAAAACGTGTTATATGAAAGCCATATGTCACCATTAAAGTATCAAGACTATTTTTTTTAAAAAGATGCAGGGACAACAAGAAATTTTCAAAACCTTTGATATTCTGGTATGCAAAACAAACAAATGTCTGTGCCACAATGGCTGGGAAATAAACAAAATGTGTTTGTGAAACACTGATGTCAATGTATTGCAGCGTAATGGCAAGGGGTGAAGTTTTCTATGCAAGACAAGCTCTATGTCAAAAGATCAAAATTGTTGGTATCAAAAGGAAGATCTGGTGATAAAAAATAACAAGAGGCCCATGGGCCACATCGCTCACCCGAGCACTTTGGCTAGGAAAAAGTAGAATTGTTTTATTATTGAAAAGTTTAAATCCAAAAGTAGTCCCATGACTAATCATAGCTTTGCTAAAAGAAGATTTTTTAAGAATTTTCCTAAATATATCTATGTAAAACTTTGATTGGACAATCCCCGGGGGTCATGAGACAAACTTTAATCTACACTACCTGAGGATGCTTCCATATAAATATAATCAATTATAGCTTTGCCAATCTTGAGAAGAAGATTTTTAAAGAATTTTCCTGTATATTTCTATGTAAAACTTTGGTCGGCCATTGTGGCCCCGCCCTACCCCCTGGGGTCATGATTTAAACAAACTTGAATCTACACTACCTGAGGATGCTTCCATATAAATATGATCAATTATAGCTTTGCCATTCTTGAGAAGAAGATTTTTAAAGAATTTTCCTGTATATTTCAATGTAAAACTTTGGTCGGCCATTTTACCCCCAGGGGTCAAGATTTGAACAAACTTATTCTACAAACCTGAGGATGCTTCCATATAAAGATGATCAATTATGGCTTTGCCATTCTTGAGAAGAAGATTTTTAAAGAATTTTCCTGTATATTTCAATGTAAAACTTTGGTCGGCCATTGTGGCCCCACCCTACCCCCAGGGGTCAAGATTTGAACAAACTTGATTCTACACTACCTGAGGATGCTTCCATATAAAGATGATCAATTATGGCTTTTTTTGAGAAGAAGATTTTTAAAGAATTTTCCTGTATATTTCAATGTAAAAGTCGGCCATTGTGGACCCTACCCCCAGGGGTCAAGAATTTGAACAAACTTGAAACAAAACCTTTGATAACAATTATGGCTTTGCCATTTTGAAGATTTTTAAAGAATTTTCCTGTATATTTATGAACAAACAAAACAAACAAAGTTTCATCTTTCCTGGCACAGTGGTTCTTGAGAAGAAGATTTTTAAAACATGCCACCAAATTTTCATTAATGTAAATTTGTGAAAGGGCCTGGCCCTTCATTTGAACAAACTTGAATCCCCTTCACACAAGGGTACTTTGTGGCAAGTTTGGTTGAAATTGGTTCAGCGGTTCTTGAGAAGAAGTCGAAAATGTGAAAAGTTTACGGACAGACAGACGGACAGACAGACAGACAGACAGACAAACAGACGGACGCCGGACAAAATGTGATCAGAAAAGCTCACTTGAGCCTTCGGCTCAGCTGAGCTAAAAACTTGTAAAATATGGGAGGAATGACCCTCAAAATATTTATGGCAAAGATAAGTTTTTGAGAAAGTTCGCCAATCTTTAATAGACTGTTCATGATTTAAAAAAAAGGCTAGAAATAACTGCTAACAGCAAATAATTGTTATTTGATCCAGCATAGTTTTTGAACCTATTTTGAGTATGTTGAATCCGAAAAAAATATTCTGGCCTTCATGAAAATAGCGTTAAAGAGGTCAAAATGGAAATTCAAAATGGTGGACATCCAATTTTTCTAATTTTCTCTTAATGTCGTTCAAAATGGAAAATTAATAAGTGAATATCTAAGTTAATGTAATAAACCTATGAAAATTATAAGAGGAATCTAACATTATTAGTTAAACTCAGAAAATTTAGTCGTTTCTACACTTAATTCGATTTTTCTCTGTTTTTTTTTTTGTTTTTTTGTCAATTGTTTCTATATTCTTCTTTCTTCAGGATTTTACATTTGCTAATATCCATACACTGCAGATTTGCATTTTTCCCTCTATGTCCTCTAACTGAATTTTTATGGGGATTGTTTGTACTTTATCCATTTGTCCATTTTTATATAAATCGCAATGAAGACTGGAAAATACCCTTTCTTATGTTAGTAAGTTGAATTTCTTGTAAAATATTTTCCTATCGAGTAAAAATTAAACCTGCCCCAAGCAATTTTTATGTACCAGAGATCACGATAAATTGATCTATGTAACAAACTTTCCACAATATTTTTGTTTTGCACTTGTGCCGAAGCTATTTTTTTGCAACAATTAGGAATATCATAAATCTTTGTCACTTGTTCATCACAGTCATGTGACAACACAAAAATGCGTGAAAATAAAACCTGATTAAATTATTATCACAAGTTGACTGCAATTTCACAATAAGGATTTAAACATTAAAATCAAAATCTAGCTCAAAATAATTTTTTTAAGGTATTTTAAGCCTTTGTACAGCCTTATCATAACAATTATCGATACCACGTGTGAGATAATAATTTTAGTCAACCTCCTTTCTCTGTATGTATCTGTATATGCATATTTCTTCGTTATGATCACTTGTTCCAACCAAAAGTAGGTGATTTTTGTTATTGTAACTAAGAGCCCTGGGTGCTTTTTTCCATCTTTGTTCGGTAAACAACAGTGATAAGAAGTGACCGTCTTTGTCAATCATTTGAATTGTTTTGCTGTTAGCATCAGACACAAGGATATTTGACAGTGCGTCTACACAGAGTCCTAATGGTAAAAGTTGTGATGTTGACAGATGTCCTGTGAAGGAGAACTCATCTTTTTCTTCTTGAGGAGGTCCTGCGTAGGAAAAGCGATGTTTTCCTTTTCGATCAGTCACTACTACAGCACGGTTCTGGTCAGACACAATAACATCTCCGTTATGGTTCTCGGTGATGTATAAAGGGTGTTCATACAGTCTCTGATCCGTGTTTTCATCTCCAATGACCTGTATGTGCTTTTTCCCTGTACTAATATACCGCACTACTTTGGCCTTTGCAGGCTTATTTTTATCTTTTTCATATCTTAATATTCCAACTAGTATATCTCCGTTTGAGGGGGAGCTGTAGACACACTTTGCAACCCACGGTTCTTTTACATTTATGAGTTTCATTTTTAAATCATTTTTCATTATCATTTTTTCTGTTGACAATTTACTGATGTAATGATACTCGTCTATGTAGAGTAGATTCCCTTCACGAGTGACGCAATGTCCTCCGGTGTTATTGACTGTATTCATGTTATTAAAAAGAATGCATGAAGGGACATCAGTTGTGTTTGTCAAGATGATTTTTCCATACTGATCGCTGATCCACATCATGTCTGTTGTTGCATACGACATATGAAGTACCTTTTCTCTCACTGGAAATGATTTCTTTAACACAGGTGAAGGCATCAGTTCCAGAAGCTGCTTATTATAACTAACTTGTCTCTCTTTTGTGTCAATAGTTATTTCCAACAGTAACTTCGTAATATATGTATCTTCTATTTTCAGTTCACTCCTTTTACTCAGGAAGAAATTGGAGGTAGCATGAAAGGCCTTTACTTTTGGGTATGGGTTTTTCTTAACATATGAAAGGAAGTGTACCTTCTTGTCCTTCTTGATGAACAGCTGTTCATAACTGTATATAAACAATTGTATGTTGGCAATATTTCTTTCTGCTTCTTTTAATCTAGATTTCAGTAACCGTTTTAATCTATTTCTATTTTTTATTACTAAATCGGTCAGATCCTTCAGTTGGCAAGTTTTTTCTTCAATTCTTTTCTTTTGGAGCTCGAAGTCAGCTAATTTTGACTCCATAACTATTTTGAGATCAGATTTAATATTGGCAAGGATGACTCTATTATTTGGGAGAATTTCAGTTCTGATTTGAACTATTCTTTCCATGTATAGACGTCTGACCATTCTTTGGAATGACTTTATATCCAGTATTTCATGATTTTGGTGTCCATCACACTCAGCACAAATAGGACGTTTACATGACAAGCACAATTTGTTTAGTCTTTGGGCTTGGTGCGTCTCACAATTTCCTAGCTCATGTATTATGAAGTCGTCATGTCTTAAGCGATCAATCACTACATCGTGGTATTTTGTGTCGAGGTCCAATAAATGTTTCTTCTTACACGAAATGCATAGGTCTTGTTCACACGTTCTGTGATACAATTCTACTTCCCTCTTATATTGAGTACACTGTTGAACTTTTGTATCCATGATTTACAAAATCAAAAATTAATTTAGTTCTTGGGTTTTTTTAGGTTCTATTTTCTCTTTTACTGTTCTGGCATTTAAATCTAGACATAAAAATAATCTATTATAATCTAAACAAACAAAATAACAATATTTGTTCCTGTAAGAGTTTTCAATTAGATTCTAGATTAAAAACTACATGTTTCTTGATAAAAATCAAATATATTTTGTTTATCACGATCACAGCAAGAGAACAGCTTTGATATATGATAAAAGGAAAAAAAAAACGCAGATTAACATAATGTTCGAAAAAAAAAATATCACATGACCGATAATTACGAAAATTGGTCAGAAGAGAAATTTAGTTGCTGTGCACCAAAATCAGAAATCAGAATTACTCTACCGTAAAATTTTTGACGTCACGTAGGGAAAACGCTAAAAATCCCAAAACACGTGCAATTTGATAATGACGAGTTTGTCAACAAATTTTGTTGCATTAATTGTTGCATATGAGGCATGCACATCGTTTTTCAATATTAAGAGACATTATGAATTTCTTGCAATCTTGACACAGTTTACGGAAGTTCAATGGGGTCTTGTTTTCGAATTGCCCAATGAATGAAAAAGGCAGCAACGGTTTACTAACCAGTTTCTTGTAAATTATCCCCCATAAAACTTCTTACCCGTTGTCAGAGAGGGTCTGGAGTGGTTTTCAATCAACCGTCACAATGACGTTAACGCGAAACAGGGCCATGTTACGAGCGGGTTATTCGTCCTGCACTCCTTTAAATCGCCACCTTACTACCACCAAATCAATTAATTCATAAGGAATTTGTTGTAAGAAAACAATTCCGCAATTTGTTTTTTGAGCCAATTAACTTACTGTTGTATTTCTCTCACTGGCATATGCGCACGCCGTTTGACTAATTTTTTTGCCTGGTTACACATGCCCAGTATAGCCACGGTTTGAAAGATAAACACTCTGATGAAATTCCATGCAAAGGAGAAGTAAGGCTCTGACAAATGCACGGGAGGGACATTGAAGATAATGAGAGTTTTCGATTTTCACTTTTGGGGAGGGGGGGGTATCGTCATTTTGAGCTTCAATAACTAATGAATTATTAGACAAAATCAAATGGGAATTTGGTTATATCTTTTTGAAAGATGATTTTAAAAGTTCTATAGAATAACTAAAACATATTTTAAGAAAAACTAATTTAATTCACCTCAAAAGTTTACCCTGCGTTTCTTTTTCCTTTCAGTATAAATTCATAATAACAATGTATATAGGCTCTATCAAAAGCTCTGTTCCATAGTTAAACCTAGTTTGTTGAGAAAATCTCTATTATTAAATACAGGTTCATGTATTATTGAATACACATGTATTTTGTTACATAGAAAGAATAAACAATGGTATGTGTTTTAATGTACATGTAGTTTACTTTCACCAGACTTTATCTAAATCCGAAACACCTGTACTAAGAAAAGCAATTTAAACACAGCATATTTTAATTTGACTATTCAAGGCAACTTAATTCATCAAAATATGACCAATCCATAAACTCCTTAAAGCGGCAACAAGAACATTTAAGACTATGACTTAATGTATGTAAGTGAGATTTGTGATAAAGATTTATATGGTCTTATTTGTCATTGTCTTATCAACATATAAAAACCTTTATATTTTCTTATGTATTTACATACCTTGATACTTTTAAATGATTTAAAGCATCTTTTCAGTCGCTCGCGTGTCGCAGTGGTTAGAGTGTCTGCTCTAGATTCGCAAAGTTAGGAGTTAATCCTTACATCGCAGGTTCGAATCCCACTTTGGGACGTGGAAACTGGTCCTTCGGATGAGACCGCATAAACCAAGGTCCCATGTCACATTTAGTTCTGACATGAAAAAGATCCCTCACTGCTCAATAGCCCAAAGTGTCAAGCATAGGACTAAATTTGCAGCGCTCCACCGGCAAATGGTTGCGTCTCCTTATGAGTGAAAATTCTCGAGAGGGACTTTAAAAAACATACAATCAATAAATAAAAGCATAGACAGTCTGAGGCCTTTCTAATTATACAAACTATTTACAAATTGGAAATTCATAGTTTTATCATACAAAACAGCAATCTTTACAAGGTATTTAAAGTAACTGTTGTCAGTAACTTACAAATAAAGTCAGGAAAATCAGTAAGACGCTGAAACCTGCATGGAATCTTCTATATGACTGTTTTATTACTTCTATTTCTCTATCTCTTTGTTGTTACCGTTAACAGGATTACTTGTCCGCTCACTGAATACATGAATGATATCAAGCTGTCTATATCACCGAAAGTTTTGCTTTCAAATTTAAAGTTTCTTTCAAATTTATTCAACCAAATGATTCATTGCATTCAGTCAGCACTAAAAATATTTTTTAATGAACAAAAAAGTTCAGTGTTTGAAAAACCTATTTTTTACTTTTTGTATCTCTCAATTTTATTCAACCAGTGCTTGCATTCATGCACCATTCAAAAATGAATACAAAACTGAAAATGTTTTAAAATGACAAATATTAAATGTCTATTGAACACAACAAAAGATTCACTTGTACATTATTTGCAATCTTCTCCTGGATCACTGACTACCGAACACGGGATTTCATCTAGATATATAAGGTGCCTGAAGGAAAATCTTGGTGTTTGGTATTTAATATCATAAAAATGACCTGAGGGCTATGAAAATATGTAGGTAATTTATTATGAATTTTATAAGCGTGAATTAAACATAAAACAGAGCATGCATGAGTAAGAGGGGGTTGGGGGGTACACTATTCTGGCTTGGTTCTGCTTCCAATGTATCTCCTTCATCTCCCATACTTAAAACCAGGTTGGGTTACATAGAATTCCCTTTGTATGTCTTTCAATTTATTGCGTCTTTCCGCAAGTTTGTAAATTGTCCAATTTTTTTCACTTTCAACAATGCGGAAGATGTAAACATTCTTAACTATGAAGTCATCTTAAAATCAAGGTCGTATTCCGTCTGAAATGTTTGAAAAATAAATTTTACTTCTTGTTTGCTGCTTCATTTGATACATAATAGACTCGATAATATATATTATCTGTGGTTATGGCTAATGGCGGGTATGAACGGTAAGGAGGGTTTGTACACTCCTCCTAGGCACCTGATCATATTTCTGGTAATGTTTGCTGTTTATTCACTAGATTTATAAGACGGATGATTGCTGATCGTTATCTTTACCTTTACAGGATCTGCACAACATCAGAGATCAAGTATCAAGGAGAAGTAAGTATCCCCTGCTAACCAGTTACATTGCTATATATGTTCTCTCTGTCATGATCAGGTAGTAACTGGGAAAAATCCGTAGACAACTCAGTGTGTAAATAATGTCCTAAAACTTAGCAAGAAAAATCGCCAGTCAGCATTTGACTTAATGATAAATTGCATTTGCTGACAAGGTCAAAGTATCCATCAAGGAACTAATAATTCCTGATTTTCTTGTTTCATCAACTTGTTTGTAGATAACTTACTTTGTTTTGAAAAATGTTCATTAATAGAACATGCTCTACCGTTTCGAATCAATTGAGAGATTTAAACTCCGTATGCAGGTGATTAAGGCATAATGCTGCATAATTAAGTAAGAGAAGTTCGCGATTCAAGTTAAAGTCATCACGTTTATCATACAGCTTGCATATTAGATTACCATTTACGTCTTTTTCCAGTAAAATATCTTGGAAACAGATGTTATGCTTTATTACAAACTCACCAAGTATACATCGTATCGACATAAGAATGGAAAAAAATAATTGTTAATTGACAATACGTCGTCGATATATCTACATGTCGTGATGAAGACAAAAAATTTTACGTATAAGATTTTGCACATAAAATCAGCTTCATATGCATACAAAAACAGGTCTGCTAATAACGGGGCGCAACTTGTACAACGCGGTGGTAGTCATCGTTATGTGTAGGTATAAAATTTCTCTAAAATTATTGTTCAAACGAAACAAAAAGTTGGTATTTAAATTTCATTCTTACCATTAACCAAGTTCATAAGCTACTAGTCACTTTTTTATATTAATAAGGAGTTTTCATGCAAGTTTTAGTTTTGGTTAAAAGTTGTTTTGTTCTGTGAAGGAGTTGCCAAACGCAACCACCCTCTGGAGTTTCCCATTACTCTAGTATTTATACGGATCGGTAGTACATCATTTTAATTTGACGCTATAACATGACAGATACCACCGAATAAATAACCAAACAGCGTTAATCAATAAATTGGATTACTAATTAGATAATTCAAGCAGTTTTCAAAGGGGGGGGGGATGAAATTCTAATTGAAAATTTGAAGTCGATGTAGGCTAAAAACGGCCTAACAGAGAAGGAATATCTTAATTTAAATCAATATTTATATATCCTTGCGAATCATCTCAATGAAAATAGAACCAAAATCAGACTTTAAAATATCATCTTTCATCTTTATAGCCTTCCGGCAACAGCAAAGAAAACACTTTGCTATCAGTGAACATAAGTATATGAGTTACAATGGCATTTGGGGGGTAAAGGCGAAAGATACACTCAAAGATATTACAATACATGAACATAGTGATTTTATTCAAATAGGACAGGAGTAGTAAATAGTTAAAGGAAGAAGGATAAATAAAATAGAAAAAAGTCAAATCTTTGCAAATTTGTATATTCGTAGATTAATATAAAGGGTGTTAAGAAAGTTCATTCCAAATTTTTCTTTTATTTTCCAAAAGAAATTTGATGAGAAAATATTTACAATTTGTAATATTTCATGTTTTACAGAGTCCATTTGTGCAACTGATAAGGTTTTAACTTTTTACATTATGCGTACAAAAACTTCAATATAATTATATTAAATTTATTCAATTTACCTTTACCAATTATGATTTTATGTCATGTATATAGCATTTCAAAATTTAATCTATAGTATTAAAAAAAACGATGACCTGTGAAATTGTTTTTTCCTAAAAGTATCTGTAAATTATCCACTACCAGATCATAATCATTTTTGAGCTAGCCATGAAGATCGTCGTCGAATTGATCCTTTCTATGTATGTATCTGTAAACATTGACTCCGCTGTTATCATCTCTTTTATCATTTATTCCAACTAAAAGGAGGTGATTTTTATCGTCATAGTCAAGACCCCCTGATACATGTATCTCTTTATGTTTAGTGAACATTAATATGTAGTGACCATCTTTGTCAATCATTCGTACTGTTCCAGTTGTAGCATCAGATACCAGAATATGTGATAGTGCGTCAACACAGATTCCTAGTGGTGACAGTCCTCCATAAGAAAAGCGATGCCTTCCTCCACGATCTGTCACCACTACACGAGACTTATCAGAAACAATAATATCTCCATTATGGTTCTCCGTGATGTATTTAGGAAGTTTATACAGTTTCTTACCCTTGTTATTGTGTTCAATGACCTGCATTTGTTTTCCTGTACTATCACACCGCAATACTTTGGCATCTGTGTAGATATATTTCTTTTTATCAAATTTCATTATCCCAACGAGTAGATCCCCATTGGAGGGAGAAGAGAGCACACACTCTGCAGTCCATTGTTCTATGTTCTTTATTAGTGTATTGAGCGTTTTGTTGTCTGCAGACAATTTGTTGATATTATTATTTATATCTATGTAAATGAGATTCCCTTCAAGAGTCACCGAGTGCCCTCCAGAATGACTTTTTGAATTTTTCACAATATGTAGAGGACCATTTTTTGTGTTTATCAAGATAATACGTCCAAATATATCACTGATCCATACCATATCTGTTGTCACACAGGAAATGTGGCAAACCTCACAAAGACCCAACAGTTTAAATGATTTCTGTAACAAAGGTGCATGCATTACTTCCAGTAGCTGTTCATTTCTAATTTGTCGCTTTTTTGTCTCTTTGATTTGGATTTCTCCTAGTAATTTAATTATTTCCATCCTGTTGATTTTTCTATTCAGGGAGAAGGACAATATACCAGAAATACTCTTTTTCCTTGGGATAGGGGTTTTCTTTAAACACGTAAGGAATTGTACAGGCTTGTCTAAAAACTGTTCGAACTTGTATAAAATCACTTCCGTTTTGGTAATTTTTCTTTTTGGCTTTCCTAACTTAGATATAAGTGACCGTTTAAGCTTTTTTAATTCACTGATATCATACGCTACTAATTCAGTCAGACCTTTTAGTCTCAATGTTCTTTTTGTCATGGTTTTCTGGAGGTCAGATAACTTTGATTGACAACTTTTCTCAAAATCATATTTTATTTCTGTAAGAATTGCAAGACTGTCGAAGATAAAATCGCTTCGTATGTGAACAATTCTGTCTTTGTGTTGGTCTCTGCACATTTTATAAGCTGAGAAGATATCCAAAATTTCATGATTTAGGTGTCCATCACACTCGGTACAAATTGGAAGTCTACATGAAAAACACCAACTGTTTATGTATTTGTTTCGGTGCCTGTCACAAGACGTTGCTATCATGAAGCCACTGTACTTAAAACGGTAAATCGCTACATCGTGATATTGATAGTCTAAGTCTATCATATGTTTCTCCTTACAAAGAACACACAGATCTTGGCTGCATGTCCTGCAGTAATATTCTAGATCTCCATCACACTGAGAACATGATAGTATTTTTAACTTCGTGTAAACGTTTTTATCCATGATAACTGTAACATGTACTCCTGGTTTATTGCATTTCTGATTTTTACTCTCTGATTGTATGGTTCGTAATTCTTGCTTTGCAATCTTGATAAACATAAAAATCAAAATTCATTTTTGTTTTGAAATTTTATATGATGTTGTAAATAATAAGAATTATGATAAATCAAAATAAATGATCGATTAAGTTAAAATATGATAAAAAATTACCATGATTGAAATACTATATGAATTTTGTCTTACGTCATGATCTGAAGCTCACATTAAACAGACACTTTGAGAACGTACAAAACAGGTTTATTAATAAATGTAAATAGAGGTGCTTGTCCTCAAGTAAACAAAGTATACACAAAAGTATTTAATTTAAAACAATCCACTTTTACAAAAAGGATAGAGAGAATTATCGCCCGTTTTTCCAGTGAATATTTTTGAAGACATACAAAATCTTAACACCAGATTTACTGAGCTCGGCTCTGCATGTGACACACAAACTAGCTGTAATAACTTGAATAGATAGAAGGATAATATACACAAGTGACGCAACTGGACACAGCGGGATAACTTCTAAAATTTAACAGGCCAAACGTGATCAAATAAACGATATTAAGTGAATGAAGAATGAAGGTAATGCACGTGTCAAGTTTAATTTGGATGTTACTTTGTTAAACTAAATATAAGCCGCGCATTTGTCAGTTCATCTCCTTTTAATATGACAGCATTTTGTGTAATATAAAACTTTAGGAAAGGTAAGTAATGGAATTGGAAACAAAAGGTGTCGAGATCGACGTGTTCGTTGTATCCAGAGTTTTCGTTTTCAAAACAAATATTCCACTAAAATTATCAAATACCAGCATGTTTTATGAGCAGCAAATTATTAATTCAGTTAAAGCAGGTGTGGATTTTTTTGGAAAATTGTTGTGTTATTTGTAAATGTACTAGTTAATGTTTACAAATTATCAACTATAGCCATTTTTCTTAAAACTTGTAAAAGATATTAGTTTTTAGGCACTGTTATTCATATCCATAACATGTCTTTTTCACGTTCATCTTGGGGAACTAAAAATGTTAACTTTAATCCATAGGGGAGTCATTATTCTACGGGGGTCATTTTTCTTCACGTGGGTTATGCCAATTTTTTGGGTGACACTTTTTCTACGGACAAGATGGTCATTTTTCAACATTGAATAATGCCCGGGGGTCATTTTTTGTTGTTGAATAATGACCCGTGGCTATTTTATGACATCGAAAAATGATTCCAGGTCAATATTTTATGGGGGTCATTATTTGTCTTTACATCGGATCAAATTGGCATTTTTAGAAAATTTCATCACATTGACATTGTACGTAAACAAAATAATATTTTTAAACTAATGTATGAGATGTTGAAAAAAAATTGTATAATTTTACATGTTTGTAAGTTTTTATAATGGAACTATGTTGCATGAGACTTTTAACGTCTACAGGAAACGAAATCTGTTCTTAGTAGACGAATTTACAAGAGTATAAATAAGACGAATCAGTTAATTTTCCGTTAGTCTGCAACGTTTGGGTTTTAGAGAAGCAAGTGGGGTTTTGAAAGATGCAGATTTATTTATTTATTTGGAATTTAGTTTGGTTTTAACACTTGAAATTGTAAAGAAAAATTTTCATTGAATTTAGAGTGATCACATTTTCTATAATTTGGAAATCATGATTTCTGATTTTTTTGGGAGAAGTTGTAGAAAAAAAAAATATTTTCATGTTATTTGGAGGAGGTTATTAATTTATTATCTTGTTTAAAGGGACTATTGTATTCAATAACTTTATGCAGACTCTTCATTTTGTTTCTTTGGTACTTGTATAGAACCCTTTAATTTTGCCGACCGGCCACTCCCAACGCGTCCTCCTTGTAATGTCTAGGAAATAACGTAAAAATCTATCGTCAATTCAGTGTATGAATTATGGACTAACAAATCAGTTTGAAAAACATCAGTCAGCATTTAACTCAACGATAAATGTATTTGCTGACAAGGTCAATGTATCGACCAAGAAACTTATAAAATTAATACTTGAAGTGAGACTGATGATATTCTTGTTTCATCAACTTATTTGTCAATAAATTAACTCTTTTATTAAATTGTTCATACAAAGAACACACCATTGCATATTATGGCTTCATTAATTTTCATTGGCATCAATTTTCCTGAATTGTGTATAAAAGGCGTCATTGAGGATACGAAATTTTGTGGACTAAGGCATTGCTCATACAAACGAATAACATATTTTGTAATTCAATGACCTCTTACATTTGTGGTTCTTCTCTACAACGAAATTTTCGAAAATCGATGGTCAAAGAATATAACTGAAACTAAATTATCGTATAAAGGTATGCAGGTAATAAAGGTATATCAATTTCTGAATAAATAAGGGAAGTTGACTATAAAATTGTTATGTCATCGGGTTTTTCATAAAACTTGGTTATTAGATTACTATTAACGTCTTTATCACGAAAAATATCCAAATTTGAAACTGTGAAATTGTGAGACCTTGTGGTATCTTTAATCCCGTGCGCACCAGATTATATAGAATTGACATAACCCTAACAAAAAAATACTATAGTAAACAATAATTAACTATTGTTTGCCATAGTTAACTATAGCCCCAAAGTTAAAACTTTGGAATTTTGACTTACTATACTATAGTAATTCTATAGTTAATTGTAGTACAAAAGTTAAAACTTCGGAACTTTGATTTACTATAGTAAAAACATTGGAACTTTGATTTACAATGGTAAAAACTTTGGAACTTGGATTTACTATAGTAAACTATAGCATATAGTATATTTAAATTAGGGAAGAATGAAAATGGCCATTGTTAATTGACAACACGTTGTCGATATATCTATATGTCTAGTTAAATGCCACAACACATTTTTTTTCACGCATAAGATTTTGGAAAATTCTGCTTCATATGAATACATTAATAGTTTGATTATAACGGGCGAAATCAATGCCCATTGTTCTCCCAACAGATTAATGGAAGACCTTATCAATCAGAAACTGAATCATATTTTCGATGTCAACCTCATAGTACTTGTGTGTATAATCAGAATGTCTTTAACCAAACATCTTTGCGAATGACCAATGACAAAGTACGTAAATAAAAGTTCAATTTTTATTGAAAAGGCATCTGTCAATGATATCAAAAAGCCTGGACTTTGATATAATGTGGGGGATGGATGTGTGTTAAGTAATAAATCAGTAAATTTTGAAGATGTTGATTTTGATGAAATTTTGTGATTTCAAATAGTCCAAAACTATATCCTTCAAATTTTATAACATCCACCGTTGATGAATACCACTTCTTGAATATATTGTTGCTCAGTGCTCTTGAAGTTTCTCCTTCACTACTGTTATTATCTTTAGTGAGGAGTAAAAGAAGTGGTTTGGTTGAACATTACCGGAACCCGCTATGTATCTTTTTTAAGGATTTTTATGAGGTTTCGATATCCAATAAAGTGAAAGATGCGGTAATTCGAATTCATTTTTGTTGTTTTGGATTTTAAAAGTATTCAAAACTGACATATGATTTTGAATAATCTCTTCCTTTCATTGTCAGGATTTGTATGAAGTCTTGGAATCAAAAAGAGATATGGTTATTCAATTGCAGTTTGTTACTTTGAAATATATCAAATATATTCAAATTTGATGTTTTCCTTAGAAAACGAAAATATTCTCCTAAATAACATTACTGTTGATAACTTGAGAAAAGCAATTATTGTATGGTCGATAAAATTATAATTACCCTATCAGCAAACACAATTTATCATTGAGTGAAATAATGACTGATATTTTTTTATACGAATTGATAGTCCATTATTTATACACTGAATTGACGACATGTTTTGTTTTATTCCGATCATGACAAGGAGCACACGGTGAGTGTGAACCGTCGGCAGGGAATGCTTACTCTTTTATGGCACTTGATCCCACCTCTGATATTTTGTTGGCCCATATTTGCTCTAATTGTATTTTTGTACTGTTTAATGGATTTCCGAGCTTGAATACTTTTAGGCCTAGTTATCCAGGTTCAATCAAGGTTGTACAGGGATTTACCCCGGGATTTATTCCATACACCCTGAGGCCGAACCCTTAATTGGAGCTAGAAAAAGAATTCATTTCCTTTGTATCCAATTAAGAGCATGTCTACGAGAAAACCATGCAAGAGGTTATGGGAGCAAGGTTCTCGGATCAACTTCATATTTTGTGTGTAAATTTCTTCTATAATATGAAACATTTTGTCACAAAATTTTCTTCAGTGTGGTCTCACTTAATGGGTTAAATCGACACTGTTACTAAAAATAGAATTCTTGGTCCCTATGCATGGTGAAAACATGAATTTTATAGGATTTTATATTTCAAAATTCACTATTTTACTTGATAATGATATAAAATATCCATATATGGTTGAAAGTAACAAGATACACTTGTTTCGGAAAATTTTTCATAATCACAAACTGTGCCCTCCTTTAAGTGCAAAAAGGTCACAAATCTGACATATTTCCAGATTTTTGAAAACTGGTGAAAATATTCACTTTTCAAAAACCTATAACTCAGAAAGTGACGCTTAGAATCAACTCAATCTCATACCAATTATTAGACAACATGTCTATCTACATTATATAAAAAATCTGTTTTTGGACTCTC